TGTGTGATCATGGGCGAGTCAACCCGTTTCCTTAACTGAAAAATGGGGATCATAATAGCGTCTACCTTCCAGAGCTATGAGGAACAAACAAGATAATTTTTATGAAGTGCTTAGGATAGTGCCTGGCAAATGATATGTGCTAAATAGACTACGATTGCTACTGTTATTTGTTTAGTCATCCTCCAATTGTCAGTCCTTTTCTCGTCTATTCTTTTCTTTTCTTCCCCATGCCCAACATTTTAATTCTCCCTTCAGAATAGGGAAGTTTGTTTTAACTTGTGGCCATTCCTTCTCTGGTATTCTCCTCCCTCACCACCACCCCCGCTTCTTTCCTTGTTGAGGTTGATGTGTTTCTACCCCAACCTATGTATGTGTATTCGACTTTCCTTTGCCTATTTCAGATAAGCGTGAGGTTGATCTGATGCCCACTGTTCCCACCCTTCCTTTATATTGATATTTTTATCTCATTCACCTCAGTTATGAAAAATAGCAAAGTATACCCCCACTTCTTCCTTTCTACACTAGTTTATCCTTCCTTTTGCCCTCAGAACAGAATCTCTCTACCTTTGAAACCCCTATATTATTTAATTCCTTTAATACATTTTGAAAAGAGTAAGGTTCTGGAGAGACACTTGTTTCTTCTTTCTCCAGAATGCGGGCACTACATCATCATAGTACTCCTTCTAATTGTTTAAATAAATTTACCTTTCTAGGTTTCTCTTGATCTTTGTGTTTGTATTTAAAAGTTCATCTCTGATCTTTTCAACCAGAAATGTTTAAAAGTCTTCTATTCCATTTAAGCCCAATTTTTCCCTCTTGTAGGATGATACTCAGTTTTTCAGAGTCAGTTTTCTTGGTTGTAAGCCTCTATATTTTGTTTTTTTGAACATTGTATTCCAAGGTCTCCTTTGGTTTTAAGTAGAAGCTGTCAGGTCTTGTGTAATCCTCACTGTAGTTACTTGGTACTTGAACTGATCCTTTCTGGATGCTTGGAGTATTTTGTCTTAGATATATAAGCTCTGGAGCTTGATTATGACATTACTAGGATCTTTCCTTCTAGGGTTCCTTTCATGAGGCAATCGGTGGATTCTTTCTATTTTGACTTTGCATTCTTGTTCTAATACAAGGGTGGGGAACCTGTGGCCTCATACAAATTTGTTCTGTGCAGTTTGGATTCAGCTGAAGGGCCGCACTGGAGGACCTGTAGGGCCACAGGTGGCCTTGAGGCTGCAGGTTCTTCACCCCTGTTCCAATAGATCTAGGCAGAGTTGATTTATAATTTCTTGAAATAGTGTTCAGACTTTTTTTTCCTTAGTTTTCAAGTAGTCCAAGGTTTCTTAAATGATCTTTCCTAGACAATTTTCTCCTCTAGGCTACTTATTATCCTTCCAGTTTTTTTTTCCACAAGAGTTTTTATTTCCTTTTTTATTCCTTTGCTTCATTTTTTCTAGGCATTTGTATAGCCCCTGTGGACAATCTATCTTTTCTGTTGAGTCTCTACCTGGAGTTATTATAGAATTATTATTATAGAATTCACAATACTTGAACATTAGTTGGTGTTTTCTTTGATCTACTCATCTCTTCAGCTTTAGTTCCTGAACTAGGACTTTATGCCAGGGTAAGTCCCCAAACTCTGACACAATTTTGGATGTCGAGTAAGGTGGTAGGGGTGCTGTTTGGTCTCACCTTCTATTCCCTGAGTTCTTGTGCTGACCTCTACCTCCTGGGGTTAGGTTCTTTTTGGATCTTTGGAATTCAAAATGCCAAATATTCAGAGCCCTTTCTGGCATCTCAGTACAAGACACTAGGGACTTCACATCCCTTGTAGCTAGGCTGTACTAGTTTAGGTACCATAGCACCACATTGGCCTGAGGTGGTCAGCACCTTACTAATCACTACCATTACACAGGGTCTCCAATGTCCTCACCATTAGGCTTCTTCAGGGAAGCACAAAGAGGTAGCTCTCACCACCTCTGAACCCAGAGCCTGGAAGGTACATGTGTCCAATCTCTTGTTGGACCTGTGCTGGCTTTGTCCAAGGGGCCCCCTTTGTGCCTGTGGGGAGTTCTGTAGATGACATCACACTGCAGTTTCCCATTGGATTTCTTGATCATTTTTCTTTGTTGTGAACTTCAGGGTTTTGCTAGAATATGTTTATGGTAGCCAGTGGCCTGCCTCCTGTTTAGACAACCATTTTGGCAAGATGAGGTGGGGAAGAAAGCTCCCTCCCTTACATTTCTATAGAATGTAAATATTTTAATGTACATTTTTAGTTAGCATTTGCACAATTTTCTCTGTTTTGCCTAGCTGTATTCTTAGATTCTAGGACATTAATGAAGCAAAGACCTGCTATGCAGAGGTTAAATACAGAACCCAACATAATACCTTGCACCAATAAGCATATAGTAATTGCAACATCCAATGAACCAGAAAGCTGAAATGAGCTGAATTTTTTTCCCACTTCATAATTTGGGACTGTTAATCCTTAAGTACAGCAGGATCCTGAAATTCTCCTGGAATCAAAGAAATATTAAATTGTGATCAATATTATTTTATTATATACCAAGTATTTAAAAACTAGTCATCCATGATGGGTGTACACGATAATTCTAGATTAACTGGAATGCTTAATTAACTAGAAAACTCCTATCCTTAATAATTGTGGATGTGCAAGAATTTGCTGCAAATTCTTTTTTTTTTTTAAATAATGCCAGTTTGAGGGTGGAAAGAATGCTGTGTATTCTATTATGTTTCTTTTCTCATTGTTTATAAACCAATAGACTACCAGGTTTGAGAAGCTCTGGTTGGTGTTTAGAGTGATGATTATCAATCCTAGTTGTATGGTGCACCAAACACCTCTTGTTTATCCAAAAGGACATTATAGAATTCTCAAAATATTTTAATTCACTTTAACATAAAACATGAACACATCCCATACAATTTTCATTTTGCTATACAAAATCAAATCAACAATGACAGATTGTTATCATTCAAAAGAGACTAAGATTCCCTGTTCAATTTAGCAAGTAGCTTTACACATGTTATATATCTTTGCATACATTGTTCCGCCATTTCCCATTCCCTGATTCTTGAATTAATTTATCTCAATGACCTTCAATTAATAGTAAAAATTTAAAATCCTGCCTAATTTTCATCTCCTTTCCTCCAAGATGTGTGTGTGTGTGTGTGTGTGTGTGTGTTATAGTGAGTAGTCTTTAATCAAAATAAAAATGAATAAGACTATTGGAATCAAGAGTACTTTGCTATTGCAAAGCAATTTCTGTTTCCAAAGACTAATTTAGGAGTACAGGAAAATCATGTGAAGCCAATATGTGTTTCTTCAAAATAGTGTTTAATCTGAAGTAACTGCTACTCCCAACTGACTTGATCCTCTATGATTTGCTCTTAAAAGATATCAAACAGTGTGAATCTAGTTAATTCAGCATTCTTTCCCCCGATCCCTTGTGTTTTAAATTAATTAGATTGTATTGCATCTAGAAAGAATTATATGGTTGACAGCTATCACATCATTAACTTGGGGTTGGCATTGTTCTTTTTAGAACCTTTTTTTTTTTTTTTGCTTTTTGGTGAGGCAATTGAGGTTAAGTGACTTGCCCAGGGTCACACAGCAAGTAAGTTTCAAGTGTCTGAGGCCAGATTTGAACTCAGGTCCTCTTGACTCTAAGGTCTGAGCTCTATCTACTGCTCCTCCTAGCTGCCCTTTGAGAATGCTTGAGAACACTGTTCTATCATATGGCCTCCTTCTTTCCCGTCGCTGGGAGAAGAATGTTTCTACTTGATCTACTGGGGAGTGGCTCATTCCTGTTCAGGCACAAATCACGGAGAGGACCAGCAGCTGACAGAAGTGCTTCAAGAACAGCAACACCAGTGAGTGCTGGACAGAAGCACTTGGACCTCAGAAATGACTTCTGTTTATCAACTATCTCCTTCTGTCTTTCAGCCCTAACCTTGCCCTCTCCCTCTCCTTGCCTCAATTCTGAGTTGAAAAAGATAATCAACAACTATGAAAAATGAGCAAAACAAGGGGAGAAAGGTATTGCTCTTTGAAGTAAGCTAACGCTGGAAGGGTTAGCCTTGACCCCAGAGCCGGTAATCTTTCCACTGTCCCGGGTGGCCTCTCTCGTGCTTACCAAAAATGCGTGTTCTCATTTTGGTCTCTCCTGGGCTGTTTGTAACACAACCTTAACATTAAGTTTTTATGCAAAGCCTAAACACTGACATTTAAGTTGGAAAGCTCAATCAGGATAGAAATTATTTCTTGGTGAAGCAAACCTTTTTATTGTTGTTCAGACGTTTCAGTGGCATCCAGGTCTCCATGAATGACCCCATCTGGCATTTTCTTGGCAAAGACATTGGAGCGGTTTGCCATTTCCTTCTCCAGCTCATTCTATGGGGTTAAGTGACTTGCTCAGGATCACACAGTTAGTAAGTGTCTGAGGCCGGATTTGAACTTGTGAAGATGAGTCCTCCTGATTCCAAGTCCAGTGCTCTAAAATCTTCACACAGACATAAAACTATGCAGGTGGGAGCACATCCATTTAAGGAGAGTGCCCAGACCAGCTGTGTCTTCATCCTTCAAGATCACAACACCCACTTCATCAGTATCCACTCTGCATCTAGGGCCCTCTGATTGGAGATTAGTGGAAAGGTCCTCCCAGAACCTCTGTTTAAGGAGGGTGCTGAGCCCAGCATCTACACCTGGCTACACTCTTCTGAACACCTCCATCATCATGCCCCTGAACAGGGTCCCTTAGCTTACCCTCCACCACATTTCTTCTTTTTGGGTATTATCTTCCCCCATTAGATTGTGAGCTCCTCAAGGGGCAGGGACTGTTTCTTTTCCTATCTATATTCCCAGCACTAAGCACAGTGCCTGGCACATACATAGTAGATGCTTAATAAATATTTATCAACTGACTGACTCATAAATGTTATTTTTTCCCCTTTCTGATTGTTCCTGTATTTCCTTTTGTCCACAGTTGACAGACCTGTTAGAGTGTACGCAGATGGAATATTCGACCTCTTCCACTCTGGCCATGCCAGAGCACTTATGCAAGCTAAAACATTGTTTCCCAACAGCTACTTGCTGGTAGGAGGTAAGACCTGAACTTTCCTTCATTCCCTTAGCTAGTTCCTAAGTGGATAGCCTGCCTGCCATCAAAATAAAATAAAATAAAATAAAATAATAAAATAAAATGTTTTCCATTCAGACTGCATGGTGACGGCAACAATTTCTAACTTTCCTGGGTTGTTCTTCTGTCCAATTTATGAAAAGAAAATCATTTTTTAAAATAATCATCAGGTAGTAGAAGCTAGGTGGTGCTGTGGATAGAGTACTGGCCCTGGAGTCAGGAGGAACTGAATTCAAATTCAGCCACAGATACTTACTAGTTGTGTGACCTTGGGCAAATCACCTAACCTCAATTGCTTCCCCAAAAATATTATCCAGTAACAGAAATAGCATGGAGATAGATACCACCTATTGTCAGTGCCCTAGAATGTAATAGCACCAAGGATAATTGTGCTTTCCACAATGCCTTTCTCATTGAAATTCAATCATTTAGCAGACATAATCGAGAGTGGGAATTTAATAAAAGTTTGAATTCAATTGAATATTTATGCAAAGCATGTCAGAGAAAGAGATTTAGATATTGTATGTGGGGCCAGTATGAACAAACATATATGGGAGGGTGAGAAAGCCTCTACTACTAAATCCCAATGTACTTTCCTCAAAGGACATCTGCTCTTAATTTTAAATTAATCCTCTTAATAAGAACTTTTCTCTGCTCTTAATTCAACAAACTTGTATTAAACACCCACTATGTGCTAGGCACTGAGGTTACAAAGACAAAAATGAAATAGTCCCTGCCCCCTGGAAGCTTACGCTCTACTTGAGAAGAATACTATGTACACAAATAAGTAAATGCAGATTATACCCAAGGTAATTTGGGAGAAGGGGAAGGGGATGGGGTAACCACTCAGGGAATTAGAAAAGATTCTGGATTTGAGCCTTGACTGGAGCTCCAGATTACAAAAGGTAGAGGTGGGGAGAGGGAGCTGTCCAAGCCTGGGGGCCAGCTCAGGAAAAGCTATAGGGGCTGGTGGACCAACACTGCATGGTAGGGACAGCAAACAAGCGTAGGAGTCAAGCGACACGTCTAGGAGAACAGTGGAGGAAGCAGGTGGTGCTGGGGAGCTAGGCGGGCTGTGCTGTCGTCTACTGAAGGACACAGCAGGCTTATTCAACATGCTCCTGCATCTTGGTCCCTCTCCTTTTGTGTTGTGGTTGTTCAGTCGTGTCTGACTCTTGGTGAACCCATTTTGGAGTTTTCTTGGCACAGATACTGGAGTGGTTTGCCATTTCCTTCTCCAGCTCATTTTTGCAGATGAGGAAACGGAGGCAAACAGGGTGAAGTGACTTGCCCAGGGTCACACAGCTAGGAAGTGTCTGAGGTCAGATTTGACTTCAGGAAGATGAATCTTCCTGCCTCCAAGTCCAGCACTCTGTGCACTATGGCGCCTCATAGCTGCCCATCTAGAGGTGTGGCTTTCCCTTCTCGAGCAGCTTACCTCCTCCTCCCTTCATAGCATGTCTTGGCTTTTAAAAGCCGGGCAAGGAGCATAGCTAAAGCCAAAGAAGGGCTTATCTTCTCTTGCGGCCCTTGTTCTTAAAGACAGTAGTATCTCTGGAAGTATCTGAATCCCAGATTCATTGCCAGCCTGTACAATTCAATATCATTTATCCATTTTGTTGAACTTCTCAAAAGTAGCTCCTGATCTCCAGGTTTATTCCAACCAGACTTCTTATTTCTCTACAACAGAGATTACTCTCTCTTGCCTGTATCTAGAATACATCCCCGTTTGAGCCCTTTTGTTGATCGACAGCTTTTTCACATTTATCTACTTAGGAACCCAAGTAAATATTTAAAACAAAGGGAAATACCTCCCACAAATAGGAGTCGATTGTAAGGTGGGTCACTTAATTATTTTATATAATTAAACCTTATATAATTAACCACCTTCCCTCCCAGATGGGGAGACATTTCCTTTTGCTTTTTGGGTTTTCTCCAGCCCTCTGTATTAGCAGCATAGTATTTTTCCTGGACTTTGTTTATACTTGCAGCATCCTCATTGTCCTGTCTCAGGACTCCACAGCCATCCATAACCTCCCATCTGCTCTCACTCCTTCTCCTTCCTCTTTGCTTCCTCATTCCTTGCCTACTTGGTTTCTTCTACATCTACCTCCCCCAACCACAAGTCCCCTTCCTCAAGGTGTCTGCTTAGTTTGCACTCAGGTCAAATCTGAAATCTCCCTGGAGCTCAGAGAACACTGGAAAGGGGACCAGGTGCCCACAGTCTTACCCCCAGCTCTTCTTAATTTTTTTTAAATTTTTTTTTTAATTTTTAGGCAATTGGGGTTGAGTGACTTGCCCAGGGTCACATAGCCAGTAAATGTTAAGTGTTTGATCTGAGATTGCATTTGAATTCACGTCCTCCTGACTTCAGGGCCGGTGTTCTATCCACTGTGCCACCTAGTGGCCCTCCCTCAGCTCTTCTTGCTCCTCTTCCGAGTCTTTCAATGAAACTTCAAAAGGTGGGTTATAATTAGTTGGAGCAAATTGTGAAGGGCTTTAAATGCCAACCAAAGGCATCCTAGTGGTGATGGGAAGCCACTAAAACTTTTGAATCCCACAGCCAGTCTGCTGTCCCGGAGAATAGTGAAATCCCATCAGCACTTTTTTCTGGATCCAAGTATTCACTGAAGATAAGTTGAGAACTTAAAAGATTCACTAATCAATTTGGTTAGAAAAACATAATACTTTAAAGAAACATAAAAACTGTGAGTCACTAAGGCATAGCAATATTCTCCAGCTTAACTCTGCCTGACTCCTGACCCCGTGTCTGGAGTCTTATTGTTACCCTATATGGAGGAGCTGGCAGAAAAGCCTCCCCTTTCTAACCTGGCCTTGGTCGCTCTCTGAATGGTGGGACTGAATGGGTTCAGCTAGTCCTGCCTGCGTAAATACTGCAGCCAATTCCTCTAGGGAGTGATAGAACAGTGAAAAACATAGATAGATAGAAGGCCTTCCTACTCTTTGGGTAAGCACCAAGAAGTGCAAGAGAAAAAGACACAAAAAAACCTATTCCTTCTTTTAAGTGGGTCCAGATGTCAGAGTAAACTTGGGTCATTATAAATCCTTGGTTGTTTTCATTATTGCTTCCTGGAATCAGTAGGGAGTCTAGAAGTAGAGAAAACTTTATTTATTACGAGCTCTAGTTTTGCAGTAGACGTGACTTTTCTGTGTTTAAAAGTATATTACAATGTAGAAGAAGAAAAGGTCGTTATTTAATACATGCTCCTTAAGAAAATGGATGGGTGGAAAGGTTCCTTGAGAGTTGCAGTCACCTTTGCCCCATTCACACAGAAGGTAGGGAAACCAAACAGAAAGGAGTCTTGAGAATTGTTATGAAGAAGAAACACAGGAAAGAAAGAATTGTGTTCAGTTTTCTTTTTAATGGGCTGCAATAGGTGGTCCTGAAGTCCTATAAGAGGAGCAGCTGGGTGGCACAGTAGTAGAGTGCCAGGCCTGGAGTCAGGAAGATTCATCTTCCTGAGTTCAAAGCTGGCCTCAGTTGGCCTAGATGCTATGAGGCATCTATATACCAAATTATACTGAAGAACCATAGAATATTTAAATGGCCCGTAGCAGATTTTGTTCCTTATGGGTACTCATTCTTTTCACACTGAGCCTCTCAGTGTGAAAAGAATGAGTACCCATAAGGAACAAAATACAGGGAAAGGAAGAGACAATTCATAAAATTTATAGTTCTAAGAAATAGAATTCTGAGGGTTCATAGAAATTTGTGGGAGCAATGAAAAGTACGAACTTTCAGTGGAACACGTACCTGCCAACTACATGTCATTCATCACAAGGGGAGTAGACCCATAAAACATCACTGGGCCGAGACTGCACACAGAGCCTCCCACCCTCTACAGTCCCCCAGGCCAGCACTCCCTGCACTAATGATCCCTCAAAGTACTGCTGACCCCTGTGATCTGAATTCCACATATGACTAAACTTCCTTTATATCAATCCTCTTCCTACTCTTTGGCACCCCTAAATAATTCAGGGGAAGTTCCCAAACCATCAGCTTTCACTCTTCTCAGCTGATTCCCAAATAAGTGGGAATGTCTAATTTCAGATGGTTGCTCCTGTAAACTAACAATAGTTTGGTAGAACCTTCTAGAGCTAGTGGTCTGCTAGTATAGTCTTTAGAGCCTAGATCCATCTAAAGTAGGTTATAAGGAGAAGATTTCAGTGTGTATACACACACACACACATACATATACATACATGTTTATGTGTGTGCATATATCTAGACACACACATATACCAGTGTGGGTGGTTTGGGTAGCCTTCCATAGCATCTGTGTTACAAATACATGCATTTACTGAGAGAGAGAGAGAGAGAGAGAGAGAGAGAGAGAGAGAGAGAGAGAGAGAGAGAGAGAGAGAGAGAGAGGGAGAGAGGGAAAGAGAGAGAGAGAGAGACAGAGAGATAGAGAGAAACAGCGAGACAGAGGAACAGAAAATATCATGATATAGTATGTTGGGCTTAAAGTTAGAAAGACCTGAGTTCAGATGTTGCCTCTAACTCTCACTAGCTGACTCACCACCTCTGTGTCTTAGACAACTCTCTGCGATTTATCTATTCAGTCATAGAAAGGTTGCATCTTCATTGGTGGATGATGTTACCATGCTGGGAGTTCCATATACTGACAGAATCACTGATCTTTCACAAATGTATATGTAATCTGTGGCCTAGATCCCTGAGCTCTAGATTTACACAGATTGGGTTTTATCTTGGGGTCAGACCTCTAAAAATAAGACACAGCTTCAGAATCTACCTGCAATGCTTAATCCTAGAATCTCTATGGGTGAGTCACTTTCAGGTCCTTGGCTGCTTCATCTGTAAAATAAGAAACTGTACCAATAAATATTTGTTGAGTGAATGACCAGCTGTATAGTAGGTTCTGAGGTCTCTTCCAGCTCCTAAAGTATAATCTCAGAATCTAGTTTCTGTTAAGCCTTGG